AGAGAGAGAGAGAGAGAGAGAGAGAGAGAGAGGGGGGGGGGGTCTCATATATCCTAGGCTGAGGATGACCTTGAACTTTTAATCCTCCTGTCTCCACCTGCTACCCTGCAGTTTCTATGGTGCTAAAGATGGAACCCAGGGTCTCACGCATGCTAGAAAGTACTCTACCAACCCCACAATTTCTTCTTTAATGACCATATATTTCACCATAGAGATAGGTGACTCTACAGTTACAGCACCTGCTGGGAAAGCTTAAGGCCAGAGCTCGAATCTCCAGACACCTAAGAAAATTACAGACAGGTGTGGCTGCCCTTAATCCCAGCCTCAGACTGCACAGACCTGGATGTCTCAAAGGAAGCTAGCTAGCAAGACTAGCTGTATCGGCAAAGACTGCATTTGATTGAGAGACTCTGATGAAGTCTTTAAAGAGACTCCCAAATATTGTTTAGAAATGTTTGTTCACATTTAAAGGGGGATATGCTATAGAGATTTGCATTGGTCAATTTTGTTATATGTATATTTCTGCTCTTGATTAAGGTATTGTGTTTGTGCTGCTCATTTAAAAATGTAATGTATAATTAAAAAGCAGGTTAATATAGTTGTCTATAATAATCAAGCTTGTAGTCAAGTTAGTCAGGTTTTCTAGATGTACAGAGATATGTTTCAGATGAATAGTTATTCTTCAAACCTTTCAAAGACTAACAAAATATGGCATTTGAAATGCTTTAAGAACTTTTCATGACAATGAGACACATTTACTCCTGGCAGTACCAATCTACTTCAAGAAGAGATGGGCATCGAAGAGGCTCCTTATGGAGTTTTCTAGCCGTTCGGGCAAGAAACTGCTCTTGCCTGGACTACTTGATGCTATGCTGTATGAACTGCACATGCAAGACCCACAGAAAAATGACTGCTGAACTTGCCTAAAGGTGATATGGTCCTTTGGGTTTCCTACTTCATGAAAAAGTCTGCCAGACATTCTGCAGGACACAGAAGAAAAGTGACTGACAAACTGCCAATATAGGTCAAACTGTTCTTAAAATTTCCTGCTTCATGAAAAGTCTGCTATGAGCCTGTAGGCTGAAGATGGGTGCCCCAATGTTACAAAAAAAAAAAAACTTTGGGTGTCTGTCCAGGCAGTGAGATATCTCTGTCAATTATAGAGTTTTGGAATTGCTTACAATGCACTTCCTGTTTACTTAGGTAATATTATATCCTTCTGGAGTCTTTAATGGAGTTGAAGAATAGATAGTTATAGTTTTCCTTAGTTATAATAAAAGGTAGATTAAATATAAAACTTTAGACTCACAAAGATAGGATAGATAAGAGTATTTTCCTTAATTTGCCAAATATAAATGGACTAAGTATTGTTGAAATATGAGCAGCGGGGCTGCGTCCCCAACACCCCGGCCGCTTGGCTAGCTCATGCCCGAAATAACAACACACAAACTGTATTCATTTAAGAACTGCTTGGCCCATGAACTCTAGCCCTTACAGGCTAATTCTCGCACCTGGACTAGCCCATTTCTAATAATGCGTGTAAGCACCCCAAGGTGCGCTTATCGGGAAGATTCTAGCCTCCGTCCATCCTGATGTCTCTGCTCCAGAGAGCAGAGCTGTCCGGTCCCTCTGTAAGCAGAGCAGAGTCTGACCTCACTTCCTCTTCCGCCCAGCATCCTATTCTGTTTATTCCACCCACCTATGTTCTAAGCTATGAGGCCAAGCAGTTGGTTTATTATAATTAACCAATTACCTTCCTCCATCAAAGTATTGTAACTGTAATTCTTGGTTGATAACTGTTTTGTTGAATGTAACCTTGCTATGTTAAAGTTAAAACTTTCCTTTTTAATTAGACAGAAAAGGGGAGGTGATGTGGGATTCCCTTCTGTATGCTGTGAATACCATTAGTTAATAAAGAAGCTGCAGGGCAGAATAAAGTCATGCTGGAAAAGATATAGAGTCAGGAAGATGCCATGTAGCCCCTGGAGGAGAAAGACTCAAGCCACCAGCCAGAACCTTCTTGGTAAACTGCAAGCCTCGTGGTAAAATATAAAATAATAGAAATGGATTAATTTAAGATGTAAGAGTTACCTAGAAATAGGCATAAGCTATTGTCCAAACGGTATTGTAATTACAAGAGTTTCTGTGTGATTATTTTGGGTCTGAGTGGCCAGGAAATGAACAAGCAGTACCTCTGCCTACAGTGAAAGAGTAAGAGAAGATCAGCCTCTGGCCTGAATTTACATACATGCAACACACACAGCACACGCAGTCACATGTGCAAAACATGCACACATACACCTGCATACACATTAAAATGGAAAAAAGGAATTGGACATAATTATCAAAGTTATAATTATATTTAATAAGCATCATATATGCCATTTTTTTTAAACAGTACTAAGAATTAAACCAAGTTTGGTGCTCTGTCTCTGAATTATACCCTCAGCGCCATAATAGTTTTAACCCGGTGAAATCGGCAGCTTTGGCGCATTTACTAAAGCTAGAAGAGGAAGCAGAAGATTCACATGAAGCAGACATGATATCTCCCTTCAACAACCCTTTATGGTAATAAAAAGTCCCACCAGAAGCCACTGATGTCTTGATTCTTAGTCATTCCTATCTCTGTATCTAGCTGCCTTTCTGGTTTGGGCATCTTCGGAATGAGGGCGACTTTAGACGTAAGTCTTCACTATGCTGTTGTGATGGCCTTTAGAGATTGCAGTGTTGTGGTTCCTTTTCTGGGCTGTTCATTCCTAGATGAGTATGTAATTTCTTCTGACTCCACCTCTGGTCTTCATGAACACTTCATCAACCATTTTAATATTCCTATGCACCCCTACACTTCATCAACCATTTTAATATTCCTATGCTTTCCTGAAATGGCCTAAGCTGTGTAATGGTGAATTTCGTTTTACTGTTTACTATTACATACATACTATTACATATACACCATTACATACATACTATTACATACATACCATTACACACATACTATTACATACATACCATTATATACATACTATTACATGCATACCATTATATACATACTATTACACATATACTATTACATGCATACTATTACATGCATACTATTATCTATATACCATTACATACATGCTATTACATGCATACTATTACATAAATACCATTACATACATACATATTTTCCATTATCAGAGTGACATGGTCACTGTGCCTTGCTTTCTTTGTCGGGAAACAGGAATGCCACACAAATCTCTCCTCCAGCTTTTAACTTCCTGAAGGTTCAGGGCAGGAGCAGACGTGGAGGTCTGACTCAAAGACTGTCGTCGAGACCTGTACCCAAGGAGGGCTGCTGAATCAGAGAGCTCAATGTTCCTGGTCCTCTTTGTCCCTCCAGCAACATCATGGGATTTCATTAAGACGTCTTCAAAAATCACAGCAACAGTCCAGGAGGACATTATAGGTAAAAAGAGTAGAGAAAGGACGTAAGAGGTTGGTCACAGATTCTTCCACAGAGTATTTCAAGTACGTCCCGGACGGAGCACACAGTGGCCTTGGGGCTGATGACGAAGGTAACGCCATCTTCTTCTGACTGTTTTGTGTTTGCTTAGGTAGTGCTCAGCCCTCTCCCTGCGTTCCCACAACAGTCACGTCTGCCTTGGCACTGCTGATCCCACCGAGCGAGACCGGAAACCAGCATCCAAATTAAAGTCAGTTGCGCAGGCTTTGTTTACCGTGCACAGGACTGGCTCTCCAAAGCGGGATTTGAGAACACAGTGTGGGTTACCTTTTCAGGCCTCCTTTTACAGGGAAAAAGTGTAAACTGGGGATTTTGTAGGTTCTATTTATTATATTTTGGCTTCTCTGTTTTATTTTCTTATTTGCGAGTGTCTTTATTAAACAGTGAATTTCTATGAAATTGGGGGTGTCCGTTAAATATTATTTGCCTTAGCTCCACAATTTCTTAGAATGCAAAATGTTGACTTTGTGGTAAGTTGTGTTATGACGTCTGTGTCGATGTGCCCACGTTTGTCCAGCTCTGGCTTTCCCTTTGTGGTTTCTATCACATTCTCACGTGCAGTTTCCCTACTCCTGCGAGGTGATTTCTAACACCTGGGGTTTTAACTAGCATACAAAGTGACAGGCTTCGTCATAATTCCACACACGCTCTTTTCCCTCCATGCCTCCCCCAGCCCCTTTCTCCTCCTGCTGGGCCCTTCCCTTCCTGTCCCATCCTCCTCCTTTCCCCTCCCCTCCCCCTCCACCCCCTCTTCTCTTCCAAGCTACACACATGCTGTCCCTCTTCATTCCCCAACCCTTCCTAAACCCCTACTTGAGACCCCTGTGATCCCCTTTCTAGTTTTATAACCTGTTTTTATTAATTTTGCCTTTATTTTTATTGTGCTGTCCCTGCTTCTTTCTGGGGTTCTGTCCCAATCCTTTGTTATGTTTGGTCTGTGACAGGGTCTTGCTGTGCAACCCAGGCTGGCCTCAGACTCATAATTACCCCAGTCCCTTGAGTGACTGAATAACAGATACACAACCCCCTAACCCCCTGTTCTTTTGTAATTACTTCAGCACCTTACAGCGTTCATTTTAACCATTTCTAATATAATACTGAATTTCTTTCTTTCTTTCTTTCTTTCTTTCTTTCTTTCTTTCTTTCTTTCTTTCTTTTTCAAGACAGTGTTTCTCTGTGTAAGTACTGGCTGTCTTGGCCTGACTTTCCTGTAACTCTGATGAAGACCAGGCTAGCCTCAAACTCACTGAGATTCACCTGCCTCTGCTTCCCAAGTACTGGGATTAAAGGTGTGTGCCACCACCATCCAGCTACTTATGATCCTGTACCAGTTTGGTTTTTTTTTTTTTTTTTTTTTTAATCTATAAATACTTAAAACTTCCTTACTTTTCAAGGATTTTAGCCAATCTGTGGGGCTGGCTGAACCTTCCTTATGATCTGAGTCGTTCCTTACTAGCCCAGCTCAGTTTCTCTTCCCCCTGGACTGACACTTAGCAGGAAATGAAAATGAATCTCAATGGAGAATCAGTCACTGAAATGAAAGTAAATCCATCCAAAGGAAGCTGGAGCACCAGCAGTTCCCCTGCTACATATTATCATTGTATCCGTGCCACATGTGACACAAATAAAAAGCCAGTGGCTTCCCCAGGGTCCAAAGTGAAAGCCGCTGAAGGCCCTAGAAACAGCGTCCCGCTGATTGGCCCCAGGGTAGAGAGCATCTCTACTGCTGATCAGCCCCAAGGTAAAGAGCATCTCTGCTGATATTAGCCCCAAGGTAAAGAGCATCTCTGCTGCTGATTAGCCCCAAGGTAAAGAGCATCTCTGCTGCTGATTAGCCCCAAGCTGCTTCTTCTACACTGAGGATCAACGAGGAGGCTGCAGGCAACCGACAGCTTTGCTTTACAGACCCACGGGGGCTGAAATTTAGTCAAAGCTGGCTTCTCTCTAGAGACAGTCTTTAGCGGTAGGGGTGTGACGAGGGTCCAGAAAAAGGACATTGCTATCTTCCTGGTGGCTGAGTGCTTGGTAAGGATGGTAGATTTTGTATGTCTTCTGACTTTCCAGGAATCAAGTATGGCCTTCTTGAACTCAGTGGGGATGCTCCTCTTCACGGCTATAGTTTAAGACAGGGTGGTGGAACTCACTAGAGATTGTCTTCGACTGTACAGCTGGTGCTCCAGGCTGTCAACTGTACAGTGAGTGCTCCAGGCTGCCACCTGTACAGCTGGTGCTCCATGCTGTCGACTGTACAGTGAGTGCTCCAGGCTGTCGACTGTACAGTGAGTGCTCCAGGGTGTCAACTGTACAGTGAGTGCTCTAGGCTGTTGACTATACAGTGAGTGCTCCAGGCTGTCAACTGTACAGTGAGTGCTCCAGGCTGTTGCTGTACAGTGAGTGCTCCAGGCTGCCACCTGTACAGCTGGTGCTCCAGGCTGTCTCCTCAAACTTCTTACCTGCTTCCAGGAAAATGTAACAGTATTGGTATAACATAACACACAGTTAATGTCAAAATGAAACACCACTCCTGGTTGGTTTTTTTCTCAAGTTGACACAAGTCAGAATTATCTGAGGAAAGGCTTCTCAGTTGAGAAAATACTTCCGCTAAATTGCCTATAAGGAAGCCCATAAGGCATTTTATGATTGATTGATGTGGGAGGGCCCAACTCACTGGGGGACAGTGCCACCCTGGGCTTGTAGCAGGCAGAACAAGCCATGAGGACCATGCCAGTAAGCAGCTCTCCTCCATGGCTTCTGCTTCAGTTTCTGCCTCTAGGCTCCTGCCTCGGCTTCTCTTCATGAAGAGACCACAACTCTAAAATGAAATAAGCCCTCTCCTCCCCAAGTTACTTTCAGTTACCAACACAAGGCAAACTAAACCAACACAGCAGCACAAAGCCGACTAAAGCAAGGGCCCTGCCCAGAAGGAACAGGGTATCTGTGTCTGTGCCTCCTGCTCACTCACAGGGCTTGGGTGGTACCTTTCTTTCTAGAGCAGTGTGTGGGAAAAGGTGGGGAGAGGAGAGCGGCCTAAGCGGTTATCGTATTCTAGCCTGCTGGACCGCTAACCCTCAGACCCGAGTCTTTCTCCCTCGGCGGTAGAACCATCAGTAGCACACCCCAGGCTTCTCTCCTGTCTCCAGAGTCAACACCAGCTGCCAAATAGACAGATGAGGTTAACAGTCTGTGAGAACAAGAGCTGCCTACATCTTTCTTCTCCCATTGGTTATGCAATCGTTTCAGCTCAGAAATCTCCCACGGAGAGGCTATTTCCTAACCGTAAGACCTTCGATGCCCCTCTCCTTCAAGCCTCTGGGTTTGAGTGATTTCTCTCTCATACGCATATATAGACAGACTTCTTTCTCCTTTCTGTGGCTGGACAATTGTTGTTTAGTTAAAGCTTCTGAGATGAGACCTAACTGGGGGAATCAACCACGCAGATTCTCTTTATTTCCCACCAGATTTGGGTAAAAGCCCAACATTTAAAAAACAACAAAAAAACAAAAATCAAACACACACACACACACACACACAAAAACAACCTCTGTGGAGTGTTTAGAGGAAATAGTGAAGATACCAGAAAGGGCATTTGCTTCTGTTGCTCAACTGAATCACACGTTTCCCCATTTCCAGGTCCTTCTCTTTTTCATAAATTTCTTCATGATGTGGTTTGAGAAGACACCCTGGCCTCTTTTTCAGAATATGAAGATCACTCTTTGCTGTGTTTGCACAGAGCTCGGGCCCACGTGCACACACGTGTGTGTATGTGTGTGTGCATGTGCGTGTATGTGTGCACGCACGTGCGTGCGTGTATGTGTGTGAAGGGGGCGTTTGTTACACACTCAGCATTTTTCACTTCTGTCGTGCCGTCCACACGTTCAAAGAGGAAGAGTCACTGTCCTGATTCATTCGTGTGTTGCTTCAACAAGGACGCTCATATGATGTCACCGACATGCCTGGTGGTGGTGAACCCAAGAGTAAGCATGGAGCTGATCACCAGCGCTTCCTTCAGTCTGTGGCAACCCAGAGGACACTCTGGATCTAAAATTCAAATATTAGCAGTTTCAGGCTAATATAACGCGTGTACAAATGTTTATTTGTTGATTTGTACTTGAAAACACGGCCTCTAGACTAAAATATATTAAGTGTAGCTTTAGAGACCAGTCTGGCCTCCAACTCACAGACATCTGCCTGACTCTGCCTCCCGGGTGCTGGGATTAAAGGCGTGGTGTGCCACCATTGCCCAGAGATTCCATTCTTTTAATAGGAAAAATTAACATAATAACCTACATAAATAAAACATTAAATAGACTAAATTCATATAATAAATAAAAGTTAAATAGGCATCTTTTTCATTATAGAAAGATTTCTTTCCAAGGAGGAAAAAAGGATTTTGTCTAGACCACGGTCAGTGGGGGAGAGAATAGAGACTCTGTGTCCACAGGCATCTGTCTCACGTTTAAATGTGATCAACATCTTCCTTCTCCCTAAGACTTTCTTCAAATAAAAACCTGACGCAAGAAGGCTCTCTAGGACCTGAGATAATGATCATGTGTGGCAGACAGACTCGAAGACAAGATGGCCTTGTATGCATAGCACTTTGTTCAGAATTCATCTAAGCATGACTCAGGCTGTAACCCCAGCATTTGGGAGACAGAGGAAGAAGATCAGGAGTTCGAGGCCAGCCTGGACTACTCGAGGCTCTGCATGTGCATATATTTTAACACATATCTTTTGTTTATTTTGGGGGTGCAAATCATCACATTAACCATAAAGAGTCACCCAAAAGCGTATAACTTCTCAGTGCCCGTTATTAATTGAGCAGTCATGTGACAGGGGCAGCTACCAGAAGTTAAGGCTCGTTCCAGACATACTACAGACATTTTACAGGAGTTCCCAGGCCCACTGTCCGTTAACAGAAGAGGCCTGAGACCTAGAAACAGAAACTGGTCCAACCCAAGATTTGAACTGTATCTCTCTGAAGTAGTGGTTCTCAGCCTCCCTAAAGCTGCGATGCTTTAACACAGTTTCCCATGTTGTGCTGACCCCCAGCCATAAGATTATTTTTGTTGCTACACCGTGACTGTAATTTCGCTGCTGTGCTGTTATGACTTGTGGCGTCCACCCTCGACCAGCAAGGAAAAACTCAACACCCGGAGCTCTTCTTGCAGCAGTTTTCAGGACTTTATTCACTTTCTCTCTCTTTTTCCCTCTCTTTTTTCCTCTTTCTCTTTCCTCTCTCCTCTCTCTTTTTCCTCTCTCTCCGGGCAAACCTCTCTCTCTTTGACCTCTCTCTTTCCTCTTCCTTTCTCTCTCTTCTCGGGCAAACCTCTCCCAGCCCTTAAGTAGGCATGGGCTGCCAACCCCGAACTGCCAGGTGGGCACTGCCCATAGGTTCACGCATATGCAGGCAGCTGATAATCATTGTGTGATCATAGCATAGGTCATGCCTTAGCCATCTCAGGAGTTGATTATACATCTCCATCAGGTGTGACACCACGCAGCTCGCTACAATGACTCACAATGTAAATATGTGTTTTCCAGTGGTCTTGGGGGTCGCGACCTATAGGTTGAGAACCGCTCCCCTAGAAAAATCCGTTTAGTATATTTTGAGTTTTCAAAAAATATTACCGCCGGGCGGTGGTGGCGCACGCCTTTAATCCCAGCACTCAGGAGGCAGAGGCAGGTGGATCTTTGTGAGTTCGAGACCAGCCTGGTCTACAGAGCTAGTTCCAGGACAGGCTCCAAAGCTACAGAGAAACCCTGTCTCGAAAAACCAAAAAATTAAAAAATTAAAAAAAATATTACCCACACTACATTAAAAAAGAGCTAACTACTTTTAGTTTCAAGAGCTTACAGGTCAGAAAGGAATTGAAGCAGGCTATATTTCAGTTTGCCATAATTCATTTTTCAGTTTGATAATTCCATTGCTAGAGGCCCTCAGTTAACTCCTGGGTAAGTAGATCAGAGAATTTACTCCCTCTTAGGATGTGAGGATCAAATCATTTCAGCTGCTCCTCACTGCCATTGTTCCAAGTCCCAAGGAAACACCTTCACGGTTTATTTTCCAGCGGATGCAATTCACCATCTAAGGGTTCTTCCTACGCTGGTAGCTCAAACTCAGCTTGCCTTCAACATTACGGGATCTTTCATAAACAATGTCCATGTATTTTTTTAATGTCTGATTCCTGAAGGCAGCCTGCTACTTAAAGACAAGAATACAAGGAGCTGGAGAGATGACTTGGGGTTCAGAGCACATCCTGCTATTGCAGAGGGCCCAGGTTCTGTTCCCAGTACCCACATTGGGCAGCTCACAACCACCTGGGACTCCAGAGGGACCTGATGCCTCTGTCCTCCGCGGGCACCTGCACTCATGTGAAGATGCCCACACATACCTACACATAACTAAAAATAAAATTAATTATTCTTAAAGATTTATGTACTTGTAATCTCAGCACTCAAAAAACAGGATGATGGAGGGACCAAGAGTGTGGGCTACATAGCAAGAAACAGGCCAACAGGGAGCAATCGCAGTGACCATTGCCAGAGCCAGTGTTAACTTACGCATGAATCTGTGGTATAGGCTCCAGGAGGGCTGGGGTGCCCCAACATCAGCATCTTGATATGTCTTAGTCTGAAATATTCCTTACAGTTAGAATATCTACAGATATTCCTTACACAATCCCTGGATTATGACATGGTCCAGCCATACCCACAGAGCATCGGGAGGGAGGGTGCAATGGTGGAGACTCGAGTCCTTGAGTGAGCCGTCTTCCCCTGCTTTTGCGCAAGCTCCAGAGTCGCTTTGACAGCAGGGCCAATGTCCTGTGCTGGCCCAGCTCCCACCCTGCTCTGGGGAAGATGAGCCACCTCCTGGGAAGCCTCGCGTTCACTTGGTGTGTTTTCTGCAGTACAAAACCAAAGATAATAAGCACCGAGGGGCTAGGAATTGATTCTCAGTTATGTCAGGAGTATGGAAAAATTTCAGAAAAGTCAAAAGATATGGCACCTAAAATTGCTCGGGAAACATTAAGGATCTGGAAGACTTTTGCCTAGAAAGAGGTTTTCTTAGTGTCAGCATTCAGGATTCTTAGAGGGTTGTGAACCACATGTGATACCAGTCAATTAGAAGGATAAGAACCACAGTTGGCTTTAGAAGTGGGGAAGGGGCGGCATCAGGAGCTGCTTCCAGGGCGGCGACAGTGTGTGTGGGGGGCTGGTGGTGAGGTGGGGGCCACTCATCCGCCCATCACCAGCCACATGGGGGGTGACAGCTGACTGCTTGCTTGGAAGCTGGTTTAGAAAGGCCTGGTCCCGTGGGAGCCATAAGCTCTTAAAGGGACTTGGCAGAGCAGCTTCTAATGCCCACAGAGGTGCGTGCAGCTTCCCTGCATCTCATACCCAGAAACTCTGAACGTACCCTCTCACTCACCAGGGCGCGGGCCTGGTCCCCTGAGCCAGGTGCAATCCATCAGTCAGGAGGTAAGGTGCCCATGAATAAAAACTGGTGATAAACTAGACTGCCTTCATCTTAGGCTTGAAAGCCATCTTACAGTAAAGACCAGCTAGGCTCCTTCCTGTTTGTGATTAGACCTCTGTTTCTCAAGGATTGGCCCATACCCCACCTGTAACTTTAACTTTGAATGGTTCTGTTCTGCCGTTCCAGGGAACGGCAACCATGCCTTTGTTTCAAAAAGTTATTATAAGCATCTTGCAAGCCTACCTTTGTTTCAAAGGGTTATGTGACTACCTTGCAATCGTGTCTTTGTTTTAGGAGGCTGTTCTGGTTAACTTGTTATTTTTATGTTCTGCTCCTGTAACCCCACTTATTTTGCCCAAATTTTCCATTTAGAAGGCCCCTACCCCTGAGCTGTAAAAACCCTTGTCTCCCTCACATCCAATGCTGACCTCTTGAACCCCATCTTAGGGAGAGGCAGCTCGTGTACACAAATAAAAAGCTTGCTTTAATCAATTGCTTGCTTTATAATTATTTACAATTAATAACTTTCTTTAATTAATTTGACCACAGTGATTTGGGTCAGTGGTCTTTCTCCTCCAGTCTTTGGGATTGATACTGTACGTCAAAGGTCTGGTTATCATGCAGAGAAAGGAAAGGGTTTTGTTAACACTGCACACACACATTATTGGGAGCAATAAAAAGCAGATTTAGAGGGTTGAATAGTGTTGTAAAGAGCACGGCAGCTGCGTCCGGCAGCCCAGCTAGCTTATATCCGAAATAATTACACGGAAACTGTATTCATTTAAACACTGCCTGGCCCGTTAGTTTTAGCCCCTTATTGGCTAACTCTCACATATTAGATTAACCCATCTCCATTAATGTGTATCGCTACTTGACTGTGGCTTACCGGCATGAGTCTAATCAACGTCCGTCTCAGAGAGGAGAGCCATGGCGTCTGCCACACTTCCCTTCTTCCCAGCATTCTGTTCTGTCTACTCTGCCCATGTAAGGGCTGCTGTATCTAAAGGCCAAGGCAGTCTCTTTATCCAACCAATGAAAGCAGCACACAAAGAGAAGAAGGACCTCCTACACCAACATAGAAATTACTAAATGAGCACAATCCCATAGAACCTAGACAACAAAGAGGACTCTAAGAGAGACATACATGGAGCTAATGTACATGGGAAGTAGAAAAAGACAAGATCTCCTGAGTAAATTGGGAGCATGGGGACCTTGGGAGAGGGTAGAAGGGGAGGGGAGAGGAAGGGAGAGGAGTGAAGAAAATATATAACTCAATAAAAACAATTTTAAAAAAGAAATTACTAAATGAAATAAAAGTAATAAAATCAACAACTCAGTGGAAGAGTTTAACAAAAGAGCAATCACTCCTGAGAGTCAGTGGAGTGGAGGATAAGGAGATCCAAAGAGCAAAGCAGAAGACACAGCCAAGCACACCCTGAGAAGTAGCCAATGGGGTGAGAATGGGAGAGAGAACGGAGGTGTGTTTAAGACGTGCTTCTTGGTTTTTCAGCCATGTGAGGGTGTGTGTCAGACGACAAGATCACTGCAAGCTTGGACGTCTGTGTTCAGTCCTCAGAACCCATGGGAAAGTTGAAGGACAGACCTGAGCTCACAGAGTTGTCTGCCCTCTTACCTCTGCACGCGCACATGCACACACACGCACACACATGCATGCACATGCATGCACACGCATGCACATGCACTCATGTGCGAGTGTTAGAGCAAATTTAAAAAGTAATGAAAAGATAAGTCAACATATTTTATAAACAAGATAAATAGAGATAAATAGATAAATAGAAAGAAATTTATGACTCTGCCCACCACAGTAAAACCTTGGAAAATCAAAAGCAAAGAAAAAAATAGGAGGGCAGGAAGGGAAAAAAAGAAGGAATCTATTCCAATCAGTAGCAGGTAGAGAACCACTGACTTCTGAAAGGTAAAAATCAAATGTAAGTGTCTTCAACATGCTGAAAGGAAGTAACTGCCTCTGAGGATCTGTGTACAGTAAAGGCAGGCTTCGGTGATTAATGCAAAATAATGATACTTTCATGGGGCTTGGGGAAGACCTGGGACAATTCTTCACCAGCAGACAACAGATCAACCTGAAGAAAAAACCTCAGTGCTGCTTCTCACAAAAAAAGAAGGGTGAGGGAGGGTAAGGGTGGTCTCAAACGGAAAGATAGAGACACAGAATGAAGTGGGGGGGGCAAGACAGAAGCAAGTCCATGAAGATAAATCAGGAGTGGTATCGTAACTTTGTTAGGGTTACTAATGCTGCGATGAAACATCATGACCCAAGGAAAGCTGGGGAGGAAAGGGTTTATTTACTTACACTTCAGTATCAGTTTGTCATCAAAGGAAGTCAGGACAAGTCCTCAAGCAGGGGCAGGAACCCAGAGTTAGGAACTGATGCAGAGGCCATGGAGGGGTGCTGCTTACTGGCTTGCTCTTCACTGCTTGCTCAGCCTCTTTTCTTATATAACCCAGGACCTCCAGCCCAGGAGTGACACTGCCCACAATGGGCTGGGCCCACCCCTTCAATCACTAAGAGTCTTCCTACAGGCAGATCTTATGGAGACATTTTTCTTTTTTCTTTTTTGGTTTATAGAGACAGGGTTTCACTGTAGCTTTGGAACCTGTCCTGGAAGTAGCTCTTGTAGACCAGGCTGGCCTCAAACTCAGAGACCCACCTGCCTCTGCCTTTCAAGTGCTGGGATTAAAGGCGTGCACGGCTCAGAGACATTTTTCTTAATTGAGGGTCCCTCCTCTCAGATGACTCTAGCTTGTGTCAGGCTGACATAAAACTTTCAGCACATATTAACTATGTAAAAAAGTGTGAATACTTTTCTGGTGTCTGTTAGCTTTTCCTGAGGTAAACAACTAGGAGGGAAGAAAAGATTATTTTGCCTCAGGGTTCGAGAGGCTTCCATCTGTAGTCACTTAGCCTTGCTGCATTGGACCTGTGTTGTGGAATAGAGTATTTGTTTAATTATGTAAAGATGTGTTGCTGTTTTACCTTGCCTGCCTAAGGCACCTGATTGGTCTAATAAAAAACTGAATGGCCAACAGTTAGGCAAAGGAATAGGTTGTGTGTTGTCGTTTAGGCAGCCTGAACTCTCAGTCACCTTCTTCTGCCGTCCTACTGCTGGGATTACAGGTATGTGCCATTATTCACCCCAAAGCCCAAGTTTTTAACCACTTGGCGGAAACCATGAGAAAGATCCCCGGACAGCATCACTTCTGGTGCAAAGATGGATGACGGTGCATGGGTGAGCTTATTGTCATGGTGACAGTACCCAAGAGACACATTTTGGAAGAGGTCATGTTTCATTGGGCTCACAGTGTCAGTCCATGGCCCTCTAGAGGACTTAGTGCTGTGGCCTGACACAAGGCTCGGCGTCATTGTGGGCACTGTGCGGTGAGGCAGACAGGAAGCAAAGAGGAGGGGTAAATGCTAAGAGGCTCCTTCAGAACACAGCCCAGTACCTTCTTCCAGTTAGGCCCCATCTTCTAAACATTTCAACACCACCCAAAGTAGTGTCACCATCAGGGAACCAAGGCTAAGACACCTGAGCTGGGGTGAGGAAGGGTATTTCATATCCAAACCACAACATGTCCAAACACTTAGGCTTCTGATGCTCACGGCTCTCCTGCTCGTCTATCTCCTTCCTCCCACCGTATACCAAATGCTCATCTATATGGCTTCTTTATGCAAACTGCCTCCCTCTTTACAGAGCCAGCAGTATCCAGAGGCAGTGGAACCTCTAAGAGGCAGTCCTTAGTGACAGGTTTTCAGGGCACTGTGGCCCCAGCAACTTCCTCTTTATCTTTTCCTGGTTGTGTGGTAAAGGATTTTGTTCCATAGATGCATAGACCATGATATCTGGCCTCACCACAGGTCCGAAAGCAACAACCAATCAAAAATGAACTAAAATTTCTGTGCTGGTTTCTTTGTCAACCTGACACAAGCTAGAGTTATTTGGGAAGAGGGAACCTCGAGTGAGAAAATGCTTCCATAGAATTGCCCGTAGGAAACTCTGTGGGGCATCTTCCTGATTATTGATGGATGCTGGAGGGCTCAGTCACTCCTGGACAAGTGCTCCTGGGCTGTATAAGAAAGCAGACTGAGCAAGCCAGTCAGCAGCATCCTTCCATGGTCTACTTCAGGCCCTGCCTCCGGGTTCCTGCCCTGACTTCCCTTCATGAAGGACTATATGCTGCAAAATAAAATAAACCCTCTTCTGCCCAGGTTGCTTTTAGTCA